ACAGGAGTTTCACACACACACACAAACGAAGGAGCGAGCGAGCGAACCAAGGAACCGGTGAGCCAAACAGGCAAGCACGCAAGTAGAAAGGAAACAAACAACACAAACCCCCCCCTCCCACTCGCACGGGCAAGCAGAACAAGCAAGCAAGCAAGCGGGCTTGCAGCCAAGCATAGCCAAGCAAACATGCAACAAACTAGTACGCAAGCTCAAGCAAGCAAGCAAACAAGCAAACAGACACAACAACCAAAGCACACAGAAGCAACCATTCTCGTACTTACTCGTTCGACTATGTGCGACTGAAATCAGCCCGACTCGCCAACCCCAATGAAGAAAAACCGTCTCTCCCGCAAGTGGCACGAGTTGTAATTTTCCCAAGTCCAGGCTGCAGATCTGGGACACTGCGGGCCAGGAGTCTTTTCGCTCCATCACCAGGCACATTTGCCCTGCTTCATGGCGCTGGGCCACTGACCAATGCACAGGTCTTATTATAGAGGAGCCAGCGGCGCCCTTTTGGTCTACGACATTTCTCGGCGTGACACCTTCAATCACCTGACTCGCTGGCCAGAAGCTTGGTGCAGTTGTGACAGAGCAGGGTCCATGGGGTTTCTTGCTGTATGCATCTGTATGCTTTCGAGAAGACGATGTGAGCCTTTTCCAGGCTCGGTGCCCTGTCTCAAGGTTGGAAGAGGCACGGCAGAATGCGAATGCAAACATGGCCGGAGGCTGAGACTGCCACACCGATACCCCAAAGACACAACCAAGAGTGCTCAGGCTCGCGGCTCGCGCTGGGATCAATTAGGGATGCCTATCTGGACCCTTGTTAGAATGTGTCTATTGTCACCCATCTGATTGGATGGACCGGAGTTGTGGGACCTCATGTGGGACTTGGGGCTCCTGAGCCGAAGCTTGAAGAAAGCAGAGCGCCCACAAGACTGCGCGTAGTACTCTCACAGAGCGGAGGATACGCAAAACAGATCTTCCGATGAGAATACAGTAAGACGATGGGCCAGTGTCTCCTGCTGCATCTCGGAAATGCCCACTTCTTGTTATGAACCTGCGAGCACCGCGATGTCAGTGCTGCAGGCCTCCGGTAGCTGCCCTTTGACCTCAGTTCTGATTTAGGGTTACGCCCGTGCATTTAGCGCCGGAAGCTGCTTTGTACGGACGGTTGCCCCGTTCAGCATATTTCAGCATGTAAGCAAGCAAGGAACCATCGAGAAGTTGTTGTGCACGAACACAGATTTGGTGTGCATAAAAATTCATCACTTGGACTCTTCGACGGCTGGTGTGAATTAGGACTGCACGCTGAAGTGATCGATTCTGCAGCAGAACCGGGAGTTCACGTAGCCAAGCCAGCAGAATGCACCCGGCGCCAGTGATCCGACTACTGACTGATGTACCAGCCGAAAACTTGATGCCCATCGCACCGTGCAGATCTTTACTTACGCCCCGAAGCTGGAAACAGCCAGCGGAACTGTGTTACTACGGTCTGGATGTGCTGCTGCACGTCTTTGAGGTGTCCAATCAGCAGCGTCGAATATCTGAGTTGTGTGGCCTCGCGTGACGTGTAGGGGCAATCGCATGTCAATGATTTCACTTTTGCTACTCCACTTCTTGAACTTCCTATGGCGGGAACCAAGACTTCGATTTTTCGCACCAAGAATGTATATGGGATCAAAGTGTTGCGTGTCCATCAGTCTTGTTGGATTACAGGAACGGAACTGCCCATCGCCACACAGTCTAACGGAGCTCATCGAAGTGGTGGTCGTGCCGGCCATTGGGAAGTTGTGCATTCACGTATTCTCGCCCACTGCGTCAGCGAGGTCCAGTAGTATTTGAATAGTATTTGGGTCATTCTGCTGCAGCCACGTGGTGCGGTCATCCCCGACAGGCTGGCCTACAGTGCCAATATGTGCAACTGCACACCAATATGTGCAAATGCACGACTCCTCCAACAGATTCGATCAAACCATTTCGTTTCTCTATGCTGCTGTAGGTTATCATGCTCATTGGCAACAAGTGCGACCTGGACCGACGTGAGGCAGATTGCAGGGACTTGTAGAATCATTCTCACAGTCCTGTTAGAATGCTTGCAGGCACTTGAGAGGAGAGCTTGCGAGGGACGGCAAGTAACTGCCTGCCATCCTGCTGGGCCGGAATGCGCACTGAACGCTAGGTCACCTACGAGGAGGGTGCGCAGTTTGCCCGAGACCATGGCCCGGGTACTTACCTTCTGTGATGACTCCGATGGCGTACAACTGCAGAGCGCACGGCCGTTCTGAAAGCGATGACCTTGGTGTTGTATCAGCCTGCGCACAGCAACTGCCGAAATGCTCTGTGCTTAGGCTTGATTTTCAGAGAGACGTCAGCAAAAACGGCGCAGAACGTGGAGGAGGCAAACAACCTGCGTTTGCTCCATGTTTGAAGGCTGCTGGACTTGGAACCGAAGTTTGCTGATTTGCGTGCGCAGTGGCTAGTTCATAGCTTGTCTGCCAGGCCTTCATACAGACGGCCCGAAAGATCTACGAGTACCACGGCACGAATTCAGCGAAAAGTTGCACACTGTTTGTGCAGGGGCTTTTGTGCGCTCCAGCTGCGTCTCGCTTGGATGCTCTGGACAGAACTCTATCTTAATTACCGGCAGCTGTCCGCCGTAGCACTCGCTAACGTCCAGACAAAGTGTGGCAACGACCTTGCCGCAGGGTGAACCCTGACAAGTGGCAGCCAGACTGCAAAATGCCGTCTTGCATGGCTGTATATGGAACCGAGCTAGAAGCTTGCGAGGAACATCCAGAACAATGTCTATGACCTGAGTTCGGAGGCTCGCGGGTGTGGTACATCCTGTAGCACCGAGGGCCTAGGACCCAGAACAAGAGTGCATGCGCTTGTGGTATCGGAGGAACCGCACCACATTGACAGCTTTGGATGCATGTGATTCAACGTCTCGGAGTGCAAGAGAAACCTCCTGACCGCCTGCTGAATTAACCTTGATTGTGCCTTTGCCTTTGCAGAGCAGCGGAATCAAAGTCGGCATGCCGCCAACAGGCACGCAGGGGAGCGTGCATGGTCGGGCTATTCTGTGTAGTGCACTTGAATAGGGCCTTGATCGTGAAGAAGTTGATTCAAGTCAATTCTCTCTCTCTCTCTGCCTTTCTTACTTTCTGGTAGCCTGCCCGCTTTTCCTCTCTCTCTCTCTCTCTTTCGCCCTCTTGCCTCTCAGTTTATCCCAGCTAGTGACTTCCCTTCACTTGCGGGATCTTGACATGCGGACATGCTGCAAAGCCGCAGAGGCGCAGTTGCTTGCATTCAGTGCAGAGCCGTAGTTCATCGTAGATCACTGTAGCGGCTCTGTAGCGGTTGACAGCTCTTGTGCCGCTTGGAGGCGCTGGGTACCAGCACGGGCCTCCACGGCTCGATGGTCGTCAGACCGGTGGCTGCTGCAACTGAGAGTCTGAGAGTCTGAGTTAATTCATCGACTAGCGCTTCATGGTTTTACTCTCCTGACGCATTGCCACTTTGCTAGAATACAGCTGTCTTTCTTAATCTAGAGATTCGACGTCGTGTCGCGAATTCGAGTGAGGCTGTGAGGGCACTGCATGGGCGATTTACAGGCCCAGGCAGGTTCGACCTCAGCATTTCCCGGTGCGAGCGAGCGCGAGCACACTTGAATTGCTACTTTCCCCAGCTGTATGCATTGGGCATTTTACGTCTTCCCACAGCGCTCAGTTGAGATCATCAGCCCTCGTCTTCGTTACCAGCCTCAGAACGTCATAACGCGACTCCTCCTGGCTGTGTCTCAAGAAGTGCAAGATCTGAATTATCAGATAGTCGGAGACGAGTATTGCCGCACAGTACAACCACTTGAATGTTGTTCGTTGGCAGAGCCTGATGGGGTCAGCAAGTCTCACACGATGTGCGCACTCACGACCAGCAGCCCAAATATCGCCAGCTACAGCATCCCCGAGCCTCGTGAAAGGTGGACCAGAGTTCGGCATTGCAGCTGTGGCTGTAGCTGTAGCTGATGGCTGCGGTACCTTCAGGATTTTCTCCAGGGCGGGGGTGGGCGAGGGCGTGCGCAACAGTTGCTGAGGCTTGTTTGGTGAGGTGAGTGGACGTGATGTGCAAGCCCGTCTTCGCTAGTGGTTTGGGGTGTGAGGGGTGTCAAGCTTTGATTATGCGTACTGCAGTCGGTCATCGAAACAGCTCGCTGATGCTGCCGCATTCTTTGAGCTCGGCTGGCCTTGCTTGGAGCACGGCCCTACATAGATCCTGCCCGTGCCGCCTTCACACTGTCGTGGGGGGTCGGGTTTTTGGCAACAGGGAGATCCACCCAGCAGCGCCCTGTTTTGCAAAGCGACTGTTCTTATGGCAGTGTTCTCTCTGTAGCCATGTGGCGGGCACAGCCAAGAAGTGTTGTGCCTGAGCTGGCACTTGTGAAGGTGGCGGGACCTTAATCCCGATCCCTGTAGGCAATTTCGTGACTTGCGCTTGCCTGCATTCAACGTGGCCACAAACAGAAGAACTGCTCGGAGGACATACCATCCCTGAACTTGCAGAGTACGAGTATGAGACAGATTGTGCTTTGCTCCCCTGCAGCAACATTGCATTGCGACCGCTAGTATGGTATACGGTATAGGGTTCACGCCTGCCTTCATAGAACTCGGGAAGGTTCCCGCCGCCTGCATCAAATTGCTTGACGCTGTGCTTTCGATGGTGTCCTTTGTTGTGCGCCCACTGGTCCTTCAGTTTCATTTTCATGGGTTCTAGAATAAACAACCCGCTCACAGGTTCGGTCGTTCTGCTCGGTGCCTGTAGTCGGTGGAGCACTTTGCTATAGCCACAGTCTTGGTGTTTTGATGATTCTGTACGACCAACCAGCAAGCTGCTCCTATCGTGATTCGAGCAGAAACCAAGCACAGTGTACCTCCGAGGTGGCATCATAGCAAGCGCGCTGGCTGCACATGACAAAACAAGTGCTTTTGGCTGTGACGGGAAGCCCCAGCACAGCCCAAATGAAGTGGAATGAATGACTTCCGCCTCGTAGTTGTCGTTCTTGCAGCAAGCACAGGTGTTGCAGGCCAATAAGGTGTCAAGCTGGAGCTAGCTGTTGTCCGGATGCGCTGATGGCATAATTTGTAATCCAACTTACGGCTTTGATTTTTGAGCACCTCCTGCACGATACAGCAACTTGAACGCCTGCATTTATCTGCAGCTGTCTTCACGACCATGAACATGTGTTGGACACAGCTCCAGGATTCTGCCCCAAAGCAGTGAGAGTTTCCAGGCCGCCTTTGTTGCCCCACATTCGCACAACGGCCACCATCGGCCAACTCACATTTTGCATAGGCTGGTCCCAGTTGTGCAGTCGTTCCGTGGCAGTATACTCCCCTTTCGTCATTACGTAGTCCAACAAACACTTCAGCACTTTTTCAAAAAGCTGCTTCCAGACACAGCCGGGCCATGTCCAATGACAACCGTTGTCGCCGTCTCGAATCCTACTCCACGGGCGCAGGTTTTGGGAGCCAAGGCCCCAGGTGCAGCAAGAGGCTCCCAGCAGGGTTTGGTCTCTTTGACCAGAACCAGCACTCGCTTCACCGCTTCAGTTAAAGCAAAGAGAATCATGGCGTGTGCTTAAGGTCTCTGATGTATCCTTCGACGAGTGCTGCGAGGGGCGCTTACTAGGCAAGGCCCTCGGATGATCTGGTTCGGACAGCTTGCTTTTCACTGCCTCTCACTGCGTGTTCTGGCAAGAGAAAGTCGCACTGTTGCACGTGAGGCGGCGACCATTCGAGTGACTGCCCAAGGCCCCGAATGCTGTGTTTGCATGGCAGATGTCATCTAAATCCCTTCCGTTTAGCCTTGACCTCGAGCCGTCGAACAGCTTTTCGCGGGCTCTCATTCAATTTGATAGCTACTGAATTCAGCTCATGTTTCCAATGCGGGTATGTTCGAGACCAAGCCGCTTAGAGCATCAGTTGGCAAGGTCTGCGCAGTTGGATGATGTTGTTTCGCCGAATCCCATCTTCGTTCCAGATCCATAGTCCAACCTCGCCACAGTCTGCAGAGTGATTTAAACCTGCTTCAACCACAGTCGACGCTGCCATCAGCACATTACTGCCTTGGAGGCCTCATGTGCGCTGGTGGTGGCCTGTCCTTTCAACTTTCAACACACAAGAAGCTTCTACGACACGCATTTGATATGTCCGTCTCGTTTTGTTCCTTGTTCCTGTTGCCTTGGCCTTTGCCTGGTAGCTTCCTTTCAGATTCCTTCTCTGCTTCCTCCATCCGGCAGCGTGTGCTGCGGCTGCGTGTTTGACTGTCGCCGTCCATCATCCCCAACGATGAACGTGTTGAGGCTCTTGCTTGGCATGCGAACTGCAATTTGCACGATAGTTCGACTCCATACCGTCCATACCCAGTATCCACAATTGCCCTGCAGCTGCAGATCAATCGGAATTCTGGCACTTCGACGGTGCGAGTGCCGTCCATTCAGTCGGGACCTGTCGTCGAGCACTGTCCACTCGCCTGACGCTTGCCTGCTCCATCTTGTTGCTCTTCGAGGCTCTGTCTCTGGGTTCTTCCTTCCCTGGAGCCGTTTGTGCTTTTGGCGCTCCCACATGCCGGATTGTCGAGGGGCCGCATCTTCGCCCTACAACCAGGGAATTTCAGCACTCGCCGATCTGCAGGCTACGTCGCCTACCTGGTCAGCATGACCAAATGGCCAGAGACCAGGATGGGCATGGGCTTGACTTGAGAGTAAGAAGATTTCTTGCTGTGAAAGTGTGTTTATGTGCCTCCCTCCGAACCCCACGAAAGTTGTGTGGCCGTGCAGCGGCATGCTGCGTTGTCCTGCGATGCGACTTTGCTGCAGGAGGTGGCCATGGCTATGCAGGCCAATATGTGGTCGGTTTGAAGTCGTGACATGTTGCACATGGCAGATGCAGATCGTGTCCTGCAGTGCGGGTTGAGCTGCTGAGTTCTGTTGTTCCTTTGCTGTGAGTAGGGCTGTGCTTTGACAGTCTTCTTCTTGCTCTGGTGCTGCAGCGTCGTTCATGTAGTATGTGCCGAAGACATTGGATCGAAGAGGGCAAGCTGGCACAGGTGCCGAATATTATGCGGAGGATCACTTGACTTCTTCCCCACGCCACAGCTTCACCCCAATGTAATGCGTAAGTCTGATTTCAACATTCTTTCTAAGCATGTGAACATGTTCGTCATTTCATTTTCGTCACGCATGGCGGTTGGCCATGGAAGCATTCCAGGATCTGAAGGAACCATCGAATCTGATGGCTGCCATATCCACTCGACAGAGCATTGCATGCCAGGCCTGGAGGCAAGAAGCCAAGGAGGCCTCAGCAAAGCCCTAAAGGAAACATTGCAAAGTGCGAGAAAGTGCACATTTCGTGAAGCCTGTTTCACCAAGAGGCGCATGACAAGCGCACCCAGACATGCCGGGAACTAATAAGCCGCTTGGCTTCTCCACAGAGACCAATACGAGTCCTCCCAAGTCTGACTCTACGAGTCAAGCACGCAACAACACAACGATACTGCATTGTAGACGACATTGAACTGTCTTCTTGCCCCTGGCCCGTCTCAACCCAGGTCGATTAGATCACAGAGTGCAACCTGGTTGTGCTGACAGAGACGGCGCCGTCTTGATCCACCGCCTGGAACCTCAACATGCACATCCAGGCCATTTGAAAAGCTTCGAGTTGAGGCACCTGCATAGAGTCGCCTAAAGGACAACAGAGGGAGCTTTGTCCAGAGAAGAAGGCCGAGTCCTTTACTTGGACACGACTTCACCGACGATGGTAGCTTTTAGTCGTGTCAAGGATTGGATCCAGTTGGAAGAGGCGCAAGTGCGGCGCTGGGGTACCAGCAAAACCATGCCAGGATCACAGCGGCTTGCTTGCATGTAAAGGCTGCCCCCAGCAACTCGCCTTCGAGGTTACCGCAGTACCGGGTGCTGCACGCGCGGCGCTCTGCTCGGACGTCGCCGAGGACAGAGATGCCAAGGCAGTAAAGACAATCTCTAGCGGCCCAGCCCAGCTAGGAGTAGAGTACAGCGTCTGAGCGGCTGCAGAGTATGAAGCCTTCCTTTGAGATCTTGCCCGACCAGGCCGTCTCCACACACCGTTCAAGCTCGCCTTCCAAAGAAGCCCCACGGCAGCATTTCCACTCAAGTTGACTTTACGCTTGGGCTTGCTTGGGCCTTAGTTGGTCATGCAGTATGCAGGCCCCGCTCCCGGCCAAGTTCGGTAACCCCGCGCTCCCCTCGCAGCTCGGCCGACTAGTGCTTGAAGACACCAAGATGCATGGGGATGGAGATGCATGGGGTCAGGGTAAATCTTGTCTGAGGCAAAGACGAAGGACGGAAGCGGAGCGAACAGGAGGTGAGCATGAGCCGAATCCCTCCAAAGCTTCTCCCGCCTCGGATGGCAGGCACCCGTTCGCAGTCTAGCTCGGGCCAGGTGCTGGCAAAAAATGGGCTTCGCAAAGTTTCCTTTACATGTGGCCTTGGCCATCCCAGACTGCCCCGATGCCGACAGGACCCAGTCAGGGCCGTGGCGCCGTGCGTCAGATCGAGCCAGCAAGGTGAGCTTCTCGCCACAGCACTTGGGTGGATATAGGACAGAATGGCCAGGAGATTCGAGCTAGCAAGTCCGCGACTCCGTTACGCGAGGCTTGTAGGCTGCCGAGGTGGTTTGCGTGTTATACTCGTAGTTTGGGAGGCACGGCGTGCGTTGGAAGCCTTGGCCTCCGCTGCACTGGCTGCGACACTACGTTGCTCGCGGAGCCAAGCCGACGGCCAAGCCATTTAGCCGTAGTCGAAGATCGTCATCCCAAGCTCGAGGAACTGACAACCTGCCTGCTTCGAAGGGTTCTGGCCGAGTCTGCCGGGGACCCCGGAGATTCCTGGGGAACGGGAGCACTACGGGAGCAGGCTGGGGAAGGCTGGGGAAGGCTTCTGGCCCAATCAGAGTCCATGTTACCACACAGATCACACAGCTTACCCAGCGCATGACCTTTATGGCGACAGTGCGATCGGGCTTTGTTGCCTAATGTTGCTTACGGGTAGCATGGCAAAGGACAGCGGCTCAACGATAGTGCTTCGAATGAGCCCTGCAGGCCGAGCTGGAGCAGCTTGCAGAATTGCTGCGTGCTCCGTCAGCTCCTTCGGCTTCGCTCCCGGCTGAGAGCTGAGCTCTGAGAGTGATTGTGGTCCCATGAGTCAATGACAGAGTTTCTCAGCCGAGACCGCTCACGCCAGAGTAGTCGAGATTCTCGAGGAGGCGAAGGAAGCCAATCGCGACTGGGCTCGTGCTCAAAGCTCCCCATCCGCCGAGACTCATGCCACCGAAGCGAGGCCTCCTTGGCCAAGCGCTGCGAGCGCTGGGTGCCGACGGTGCCGAAGGACGGCGTTGGGGCAGGTGCGCTGCGAAACGTCAGCCGAGATTCGGGGTCAGCAATTGTTTTGTGCAGTGCCTCAAACGAGCCCATTGCCCTGGGTTTTCAGACGAGGATGCCCTAAACAGGGCATGCGCAGGTAACGTTGGTGTTCAATCCTCAGTTGTCTGTGGAAAAAACAAACGTCAGCCTAGCAACTACGATTATGCTACTGCTAGTGTTCGACGATTGCCAACGATGATTGTGACGCCGGTTGAATTCTGCCAGGCAACTGAACTTGGACTTGGACCAAGCTTTCTCGACAGAGAAGCATAACGTGGAGAAACTGACCAAACGAAGAATGGAACCAGCAGAGGCTGGGAGATGCACGAATATGAGCGAGCGCCCTCAGGATTCAATTTCAATCATCGACAAATCGCTTCACAACGATGTGATTCCTTGGATCCAGGTGGCAAAGCCCGGAACTCCAGCTCCTGATGAACCAAATGCCAGGCAGGAGATCTATGGACTCTGAGGGCACTCGAATTTGCATGGCAGGCGCTCCCGCCTTTTTTTGTATTGCAGAGGTGCACGGTGATGGCGGCACTCAACGAGTTGGTCTCCGGCTCCTTGGCCACACAGGTGGATTAAAATAAGCCCACTGAAGCCCCAACAGCTAATAGCAAATACATATTACGAAACTGGCGAGGTTTGTCAGAATCCTTTCAGACCCTGCTCCGCAACCCGCTCCAGAACCTGCTCCGGAACGCGCTCCGCAACCCGCTCCGGAACCGTCTCCGGAACCTGTTCGGAAACGCTCCGCAAGCCGCTCCGGAACCCGCTCCGGAACGCGCTCCGGAACCCGCTCCAGAACACCCGCTCTGGAACCCGCTCCGGAACCCGCACCGGAACCCGCTCCAGAACCCGCTCCGGAAACCCGATCCAGAACTTGTTGCGGAGCCGGCTCCGGAACCCGCTCCGGAACCCGCTCCGGAACCCGCTCCAGCACCCGCTCCAAAACCCAAGACCCCATCGCTTCGCTGTTGGGGAAAAATTTGGCAAACTCCCTCTCATCCTCGCTGCATCCGAGGAATGCGACAGGCTCTGGATGACATCCATCAGCTACGCCAAGATGCTGTGAGTGAGTCAGGAATTCATCTAGGGGTTCGCCAGGACAAGTAGGCGTTTCACATGATGTTGCCTGTTGACCAGGTTTCAAGACGTGTGAAGCTAACTCCACCCTGGCTCTTGGGATTGCCTGGCCCCTGCCGTCTCGAATCGTCTCGACCTTTGAGCTGATTGACCACGTCCTCCTTGCCTCCCTTCCTCAAGACGGGCAGCGCAATCCCGCTGATTCATTGCCGTGCAGAGTTGGCCACACGAAGGTGTTGCCCAGCGCCTGCTGTGGTTTGACAAGCCTCACTGGGGTTCGGGGTTGAAGATGGTTGCCCACACTTGCGCAGTGTGCTTGTCAGCTGTTGCTGGCCAATGGTCATCCATGATCCATGAAGTAGCATACGCATGATTTACACATCCAGAGCATTTGAACCCGGGCCTCTCGTCGACCCCTATACTACCTATACAGCATTCGCGGTTCTACTGCGAGGCAGAAGAATTCCATCAGGCGGAGGCTGCCAGAGCTGAGGCAAGGGACTTCTCTGAATTGCGGACTGCTTAGACTGTCCAGGATTCAGGGACATGGTCTCAGGGTTCTCCACGGTTGTTTCGTTTATCTGACCTGGTGGATCTTGTGCTACGCCGCCTTACTACGAAGCAGCGCTTGCGCACAGTCAAGTTTTGCAATCCGGCTAGATTTGTTGAACGCTTTCGGCATCCGTAGGCATTCGAAACCATCGAGGGACCTTTGAACCTGCAAGACAGGCACCTACTTTTGGCCAGTTTCGGTCTCCACGCAACGTTTCCAGTGCCCTGTGCCAAATGCGCCGCTCGATCTGGAGTCTCTAAGTTTCAGCCTCGACCGTCCCTGCGTTCTCCGGCTAATCTCGCACTGCAGCACTGGCTGTGCTTGTATGTTATTAGTCGCAAGTGTCACGCAGACGGCTTCGTTTGCGCTTGAAGGCCGCCCTCCGAATGCCAGACATTACCTACTCTGTGGTGGATCCTCTGCTGGGGAGCTTGGAGGGAAGGGAGAGTACTGCACTGCGGGTCCTGTGAAGGATTTGCGGTCGTCGGTGACTTGGCGTGCTTGCGGTTTGCAGCGGTGCTTGAACTTCTGAACTCATGCGATTCATGGAAACTGCTTGGCATCGAGACAAGGCCCTTCACCAGCACGGCTTTCACTGACATTGCATGACGGCCCAGGTGGGGAGAAGTGACCACAACCGAGGCAAATGCGTGTGGCATTGGGTTCGTCTCAATCGCACATGCAGCACGACCGTCGAAGCGCGTGCCAAGCTCGTCGAATTCCCTGTAGAGCGCTCGCACATCTGCGAGGGTCTCACGCGTCTCATGTCATGCACGTGCTAGCTGCATGAGTTGCAGTTCCGAAGCTGGCGCTACTTGACATTAGTTTCTGTGAATCTCAGAATCAAGCATGAGTCCCTTGCAGCGCTTGCGCCGATTCCATGAGATGCAACAGGTTAAAGGAAGCCGTATTTTTGAAAGGCGCCATCAGCGTGGTTTCGGCTGCTTTTTTGCTGCTGTCCATGCTGCGTCGTGGGCTGCAGGCGTGGGTGCAGTGGGAACAGCTCACCACCCGATACTACCTTCAGGGACACTCTGGGTCGCTGTACAGCTAGTGAAGACGTCTTTCAAGAATGGTTCGCAGCAATGAGTCCAGGATTGTCTGGTCATGTCAGCCGTCTGAACCCGACTTCTGAGGAAGCCTAGCGCCCGTTTCTGTTGATCCAACTTGCACTCAAGAGTCAGCTGCAACATTCTACAGGCTAGAAGCAAACCCGCTGGAACCAAGTGCCGGGACATCATGCAAGCGTGTTGCACCCTCTGCCTTCAAACTTGCCCTTCGCAAGTACGAAAGAAGCCAAGCGTGCGTGGGTCAAGTTCCTGTGCTCGTCGCTCTGGCTGGTTTTCTGGGTGCAGTGCCTCCACAGCCGACTGACTGTCAGGCGAGAGTTTCGCAGTAAGCAGACAATGAAGCTCGAGCCAGAATCGGTGCGTTGGCTGTAGCCACCAACATGACGATCAGCATTGTGTACGTTGCTATCAAAGCTATGATCAGCATTATGGCTGTAGTCGTTATGCCATACCATAACATGTTGATACGATACGCTGCACTGATGCCAGGTGCTCGTTTATATTGGCCGTTCTTCAGGCAAGCGCGCGTTTATGGGTTGCAAGTCTCACATCACGGCGAACAAGCCTGTCCACTGGAGCTGTCATCTCAAGCCAAGAGCCGTGCAGAAGCAATGCTTACGGTACAGTCTGTATAGGCACGGCACATAACTGTGTACAAGAAACTAAGAGCTACACTTAAAGGCCAGTGCTCTAATCGTCGGCGAACAACCAAGCAGGGTCGCAAATCCTGCGAACTCCGAGTTGACGAAAAAATACCTTATTGATCTAGATAAGATCCACGATAGCGAAAGCATGAGATCGGAATCAGGTTCCATTTGGAATACAACATGAGGGTTGAGTGTCATGCTGCTTGAATGAGATTTGAAAGACATCTGCAAAATGAGATGACCATGACAGCGTATACGGATGAACGGATTTTTGCGATCGGTTCTGGGCCCGGGGCTAATTTTCGCGCAGCCCGTTGCCAGGTTGCCCATTTGAAGGATCCGGGTGATAGTTGTGAAACAAGCGTCTTTCCCGACATGCTCCCGAGAAGGTCCAAAACCTTTCATCTACTCTCGAGTCCGAATCCTTGCGATGATGGACGCAGTCCCAGTCCCTTCGTTGTGGAAGCTCCAGGTCCAAAAAAAGTCCAAGAACAACGCCTCTCAAAAACGCTCGTGCCAAGGTGGCAATTCTCGTTGCAGTCATTGCAGTGGATGGCGGCATGGTCTCCTACGAGGCATTGTCGTGATGAGAGCGATGCGTGGCTTTGCATGACTAGGTACTCCGAGTTGTGGAGGAATCCAGCTGCAGCATATGCATCTATAGACTCTGAAACTTGCGGAATGTTGTATAAGCCTGCAGCATGTGCCTGTTGAATTGGGGCAAGCAGGGTCACCCAACCTGCCCAGGAGAACCCAATGCTCGGTCCCAAGTTCAACCGTCTGGACGAAGCCGGCGGCAAGAATGCAGCTGGAGAGCTCAGATCTGCATGTCCACATTGGCAGGGGTTTTCGGTGCATGGATTGGCCTGGCCAAACAACGTGATGGCAAGCTTCTTTCCGGAGGATTACATGGGTGGAGGAGGAAACTCATGATTCCGACAATGAATTCCTACTCCTCGCTCTGCTTGTGAGGGGCGCATATTCAAGAATTCGACAGTTTCTGCATCGAGTTTAAGAGTTGTGCTTTCGAACACGGCTTCTGGTAGAATGTATGTTGGAAAGTGTTGTTGCGCCTGAAGAAGGTCGATTTTCTCGGGGGCACCTTCTGGTTTTAGTCTTAGTCAACGAATCATGCCTGACCCAGACTGTTGCACATGCTAGGGCAGCGGTTTGTCTTTCATGCAGGAGTAGGGAGGCGGCGGAATTCGGTTGCTTTCCACACATGACCAAGCTCCGTCTTCGACAAATCGGCTTGACAGCGCTGCTGTCTTCCACTCCGCTTCCGCGCATCTTCACATCCAAAGATTCCAAGATTCCCGAACCGTCGGGCCCAGGCGTGTTCCTTGCTGCACAGCTTTCCACCGCATCCAGCAGAGAAGATATCGAATTTCGTCTTCTCTTGTGCTGCAGTATGCTGCAGTCACACCTTCAAAGGGTGGTCCAACGATAGCAATGATAGCGAAAACGGATACGGAGCTCGGCCCTTGATTCTTGTCGTGCCCATGAAGCAATGGACAGTGTATTCGGTTCAGCAAGGCAGTCCATTGATTTCAATTCTGCAATTCATGGAGATTCAACACACCTTCCACAAGACCTGCAAAGGCCAAAATCTTGCTCCATGGAGACTGGTGGCGACTAGCATCAGCAGATGCCCCGGCATGTGAGTGCACCACGCTGCCCTTGAGTCTCTGCAAGTACTACGTTGCTTGCAAGATTCAGCAAGGCTCTGCTGCCCACGGTGTTGTCGCCCGTCACCCTATCTTGCTGCCAAGGCGACGATGCTTCATGCAGGCTGGATCCACCTAGCTTGACCCCTAGCACTAGCAACAGAGCGACGGCATCGGTGAAGAGGCGCTGTGCTCCGTGTTGCAGACGGGCAAAATCTGAGGCTGGCAATCTTGTCGTGCAGTTGCATGCCGGCGTCCAGCTGGAAGTCATTTGGGGCCCCACTGTCGGAATGCCTGGGTCAGCATGTGTGCAAGATGCATGATGTGCTGGGGGCCTTCGTCATATCAGCCTAGATTCTTCTGTTCTTCCAAAATATACTCGGGTCGACCTAGCATCGCGTGAAGGGTTCAAACTCACCATTCTGATTGCTGCCCAGGCTTGGCTAGTGGTTTACTTCGTCAGCGGCATCTATGCAAATCTGCTAAGCTGTGTCGGGATCTCGGCGAATGAAATAGCCTTCAACAGCAACGAGAAAACCATTTACGCTATGTGTTCCACTTTGGTCTGGTTGGGTGCTTTCTTTGCGCGAGTTGCAGGTGCTTCATCCAGACACCATCGGCGTCGGATCGCTCGACCCTGAGCATCGCAAGGGATCGCACCTGTTGGCCAGAGCAGGAGATTTGGAAACATGCACTCAATTGCTTTTCACCCTCCGACTTGCTGCATGCACAGCAGAAAGGGACGAACGTTGGCTGATAACAGACAGCCTCTGGTGTGAAGCTCATCCTGCGTGGTCCATGCATCAAGCCGCAGAGCACTGGCATTGGCATGAGCACGAGAGTAACAGCCCAAAGCTTGCACTCAAAGGTCTGGTTGCCTTTGTGGACTTATCGGAGGTTGGCGCGGCCCCCGACCGGACGGGTAGCTCTGCTCGGATGAGCAAACCTTGGTTGCCCATGAGGCTGAGCTTCATTTTCATCACCTGGAACCAGACGCTGCCGTGGTGTCCTGATTGTGTTGCATGCAAGCCATGCCGCTGCTCCTGTGGCATGCCCATGCAACTGAGCCTGTCCTCGCCATACTGATGTGCAGGTTCAGGAAGTCAGGCCTATCTGATCTCTAACTACAGCTTTCCTGCATTCAACCCCCTTCACCTGATATTCCTGCTTGAGGAAGAGCAAGTTGCTCAGGTCTGACATCAAGATGAGAAACGTGAGGAGCCCTATAATAACGCACATGCAGTGCATGGACAGACAGATCCGTTTGTGGAAGTTTCAGATAGGAGGGTCTTCGGTACTCAGAATTGAGGTTGAAATTGGAAGCTCGGACGTTATGCACTCCTTGTCATTGTGTGCAGAGTGTGTAATGGTTCACACCGACAAAGTGCATCTGAGCACAAGCTGTTCAACCTGAAAAGTGCAGTCGGAACTGATGTTTGAGTCGAGTAAAACAGCATCCCAAAGCTGTCTCATGTTCGGCTCAGGCACAAGTCACGTCTATCGTCCTTTCGATCCTCATGGTGCTGGTGTCCGCAGCTCAGGAGAGGTGTTTTGATGTGAGAGTGTTTTTGTTTGTTTGGCCACATTCGAAGCCAAGTAGGCAATTAGAGTTTCACATGCATGGCGATGGTGAAGTTGGCCGAAAGGGACTCATCCGACGAACACCTGCATGATGAACTCTCTGGCTTGTGTTTGCGGCACTTGGTCCGGTTGTCACGAGAGCAGAAAGCAACGGTGTTTGGATTGGACCTCGGGCGTCGTATCGGCCGCAATGAACGTGACAGGACATAGCTAAGCCCTTCAACTCGACGCTCGCACCAGCACTCATCTTTGAATTAGATGGGGCCGACGTGTTGGCGACTACAAGGGATCATGACGGCCACCTGTGCGGAGTTTCGCACTCTTGGGCACTGGAAGTATGCATCAACGACGCTATGCTCATGCGACAGTGCTTGTATCTCGCACAACGGTGTCCAAGGCCCATGCAGAGCTAGTCTGTACACATACATCGTTCCTTGATAATCGAAGCAGAGTTGCATCTCGCGGGCAGATGCGAGCAGTGTCCCGGTGGTTCGGTTTTGCCTCGAACAGGTTCAGCTTCCTGCCCCTCATGGACTTCGCTGCTCATGTTGGCGGCCTTCTGATGGGCACAGGCATCGACACGAGCACACGCATTTCACGTGGCTTTCAGCACAGATATTCACAATGCTCAGCACCTTGGATGTCAGGTACCTCCATGGTCATGTTTGGAAGCAGGCCAGTTGTCGGTGAATGGATGGTTGTGCAAATTCCGGGCTGCAGTGGTGGGGCTCCCCGGCCCGACATCACCCAGTGACTGGGGCCGGACTGCAGCGGGCGGAATTAACGGAAGTTGCCACCTTGACCACAACATTCATGAACTTATCGATTACGCTGCACATCTCCCTGCGTTGCCGCCACTCCCACGCCCAGTCTCCTTCACACCTTATCACACGCTTTCACGTGCAAGTACACAGATCTTGTACTGTAACTCATGTACCACTTGTTTCGTGCTACTGCAAACTTTGCGTGCTTGCCTACGCTGCACGGGGCCATGACGTTTTCGGAGCTCCGTGCCCCGCTTGCGCCTTAACCCCTTCCGGGGCGGAGACAACGCGGGTGCCCATCCCCTTGCCGGGGGATGCTCGCTCGCTCTCTCTCTGTCTCTTTCTGTCTCTCTCTCTCTCTCTCTGTCTCTGCCTTCCTCTCTCTTCCGCTCTCCGTAAACGCCAAACCCAAAACTGCAAATCGGTGTTCGTTGAGGGCTTGCGACCAGGTTGGCATACTGCTAGCGTGACAGGCAGGGGGTCAACGTGTGGCTAAGCTTGTTGGTTTATCAGTTCTTGGTTGGCGCTTACTTTTGGTTGAGGGGTTTGTCCTGCCATGCTGGGGGCCTGAGCATTTTTCCAAGATGCCTGCACCAACAAGTTTGTATTGCTGGAAGGAGGCCTGGCCTAGTTCTGGTCTAGGGTTAGTTGGTCCAATTGTTGTGGAACCTTTCCTGCCTCGAGCACGCGGGAGAGTCGAAATCGGTCTGCGCGCATAGGTGTATGTGAACGCTCATCATTACAGCCCGGGCTTTGATAAGCACCCGAAGTCGTACACCCTTAATTAATCCAAAGTTAAACCCACAAGCCCAAAGCCCTAGCCGTAGCCCCAGAAGCCATGCCGATAGGCCGCCACCCTCTGATTAGCCTACATTCCCCCCCCTTCTTCAAAAGACCGCGACATACGATACATGACAAGCACGAAACCCTAAACCCCTAAACCCTTAAACCCTAAACTCTAATCCCTAAACCCCTAAACCCTAAACCCTAAACAAAAACGAAGCGTCCGAGGCTTTACTGGCGCATGCGCCGTCGGTTGGCAGAGGCAGAAGTCTGAAGAGTGCCAGTCTGGGGGTTTCAAGGTGGCTTTAGGGTTTAGGGGTTTAGGGGTGGCGTCTGGAGCTTGGCTGAAGGGATTCAGGGCTTAGTGCATTGCAGTCCCTGCTCAAAAAACGGGGTTTGGGGGTTTAGGGTTTAGGAGTTCGCGATCAGTACCACCGGATCAGTCGGAAGTTTCATTGGGTAGCATCACTGCGTACATGCAGTATACCCCTGCGTTTTGCTTCGGCTTCGGTTCGGCCAGGCCGACATGGACCCTCCTCTGAAGCGCAGGGAGGCCAAAGAGGAGGCGAGAAAGGAGGCCGGATGCAGTTCAACCCGAAACCCCTGCAGCCTGATGCGGTCCACAGCCCTAACCCTCATGGACCTAACCCCAAAAGAAAAAAGAATTTGGGCAGAAACCCTATGCCCAAAAGGGTTGGTTTTGGAAGCCCAGTCTTATTGGAGGGCCGAAGTTGTAATTTGTTACGGGCCCACATAGCAGTGAGTTGTTGTGATGAGTCTCGCGTCTTGGTGTGTGTCCGTTAAGTTACCATGAGCCTGTTGTTATGTTGGTGCTCCTGCAGCATACTTCTTCTTCTTCTCGTGCTTCTTGCTTTTCTATGTTGATTGCGATGAGGTTGGTTATTCGGATGTTTTGTGTTCTGTTAGGGTCTGGTTGTCGTTGTGGCAGTCCTTTTCTTTGCGCTCGTTGTCGTTGTCATCGTCGGTAAGAGTTGTATTGTCAAGTTCTCATTCCTTTTTCATCTACCCTCATTAGCATTTGTTGTCCTGGTTGGTTCGCCTCAGAATATCAAGAAGGCATTTTGTGCTCCTGTGCATGAGATGGCATGTACACATGAACACACAGGGGCGAGCTTCCACAAGCCTTGAAACCCAAGCTGGTGCACCCTGTAGTTTCGGGTTTCAAGGTTTAGGGTTTAGGGTGCATGATCATGAGGTGTAAACTGACTCCACTCGTTCTGCAGTCCCAGAATCCGACTAGACGATCCCAGTCCCCGAACTGCTTCGCATCGAAGGCTTCTACCAAACAAAGCTGTGTATTTTTCTTTGTTAAGCTGTACCTCTGTATTGTCCGCCGAGAAGCCGAACCCACGTCTAACGAAGTAAATTATGTCCATCCAGTCGTCACTGCTAGTGCTCCTGATTGCGCGATGTTGCTATGCAACCAGGAATCTATATCCGAACTATATCCTAGGTAGTATTAGAGAGACCCTCTAAAGCCTTAAAGGGGACCCTTCCTAAACCTACTTATGGCTTCCTTAAAAGGGACCTTATTGAGAGGGTCTAGATCCCCAAGGGTCCCCCTAATCTTAACTGCCTGCCTGAAGCTCTGAAGCCTTTCCGCGTTTCCTTGGTGGCGAGCCTCTTTTCGGGGCTTCCGGGTGAGTATCACGATGAATACGGTTCTTTTTCACACTTCTATGCTTCATAACACTTTACAAACCGATGGGTTTGGTTGATGTAATAAGCTAGCTAAATTCAATTCACGGCTCGGGGTTACGAGTCTGA